AGAAGGTGAAGGGGTGACTTGATTGCAATCTATAAATACCGACAGGGGGGGCTCTTCAATTTATAGGTATAACATGATCCAATAGCCGGAAGCTGAAGATAGACAAATTCAGACTGGAAATGAGGCCTAAATTTTAACAGTGAGAGTAATTAACCATTGGAACAATTTACCAAGGGTTGTGGTCGAGTCTCCATCACTGACAATTTTTAAATCATTGGGTGATTTCCTAATAGATCTGCTCTAGGAAATATTTGTGGGAGGGGCCTTCTATGGTCTGTGTTCTGCAGAAGGTCACACTACATGATCACAATGGTCCCTTGTGGCCTTAGAATCTATTAATCTGTACTTCCCCTTTCCTTACCCCACTACAGAAAATTCATAATGAGCTTCCCCTGTTCCTCAGAAAATTGACAGCTTCCCACTCCCAATCTCCTGAAAGTCCATACTGTGCCTAGCCCAACTATCTGCAGGGTTCTTTCCAGTATGATGTGCAGGCTGTTCTTTCTCACATTTTCTCCTTTTCATCTCTTCAGTGCTGCCCAGAAAGAGTGGGTGTAGATGGAAGACATCCTTTATTACATGCTTCCCTGTTGTAAAACAGATCCAATGGGAGTCCTATCCCAGTGCATGGTGTGTTTTAGGGAGTAAGACCCTACTACAGCTGCCATCTAGTGGCATTATTCCTTAGCATTTTTGTTGCTGACTATATATACAAAATGGTCACGTCACTCCTTACTGGATATATAATGTAGCTCTACATCACTTGAGTGATGATTGGCTAGAGTACACAGAAAGAAAACTTGTCCAGGCTGGATTAGTGCCATATACTTGGGTTGGTTTCTCCATGTCTCCTCAAGAACATAAGAATGGCCATAGTGGGTCAGACCAAAGGTCTATCTAGCACAGTATCCTGTTTTCCAATAGTGGCCAATGCCAGGTGCTTCAGAGGGAATGAACAGAACAGGCAATCATCATGTGATCCATCCCGTCACTCATTCCCAGCTTCTGGAAAACAGAGGCGAGAGACACCATCCCTGCTCATCCTGGCTAATAGCCATTGATGGACCTATCCTCCATGAACTTATCTAGTTCTTTTTTGAACCCTGTTATAGTCTTGGCCTTCACAACATCCTCTGGAAAAGAGTTCCACAGGTTGACTGTGTGTTGTGTGAAGAAATACTTCCTTTCATTTGTTAAACATGCGGCCTATTAATTTCATTTGGTGATCCCTAGTTCTTGTGTTGTGAGGAGTAAACAAACACTTCCTTATTTACTTTCTCCACACCAGTCATGATTTTATAGACTTCTATCATATCCCCTCTTAGTCATCTCTTTTCCAAGATGAAAAGTCCCAGTCTTATTAATCTCTCCTCATACCGAAGCCGTTCCATACCGCTAATCATTTTTGTTGCTTTTTTCTGTACCTTTTCCAATTCCAGTATATCTTTTTTGAGATGGGGTGACCAGATCTGCACACAATATTCAAGATGTGGTCATACCATGGATTTATATAGAGGCAATATGATATTTTCTGTTGTATTATATATCCCTTTCCTAATGATTCCAATATTCTGTTTGCTTTTTTGACTGCCGCTGCACATTGAGTGGATGTTTTCAGAGAACTATCCACAATGACTTCTAGAGTGGTAACAGCTAATTTAGAACCCACCATTTTATATGTATAGTTGGGATTATGTTTTCCAATGTGCATTACTTTGCATTTATCAACACTGAATTTCATCTGCCATTTTGTTGCCCAGTCAGCCAGTTTTGTGAGATCCCTTTGTAACTCTTCATAGTCAGCTTTGGACTTAACTATCTTGACTAGTTTTGTATCATCTGCAAATGTTGTCACCTCACTGTTTACCCCCTTTCCCAGATCATTTATGAATATGTTGAATAGGACTGGGCCCAGATCCCTAGGGGACACCACTATTTACTTTTCTCCATTCTCAAGTATTACTCCTGTCCCATTTGCAAAATCCATTGCAGGAGAGACCATTTTTCTTAGCGTTATCCAGAGTCCATAGTTGTAAAGAAAGCAATTTTAACAAGAGCCACTATGAGACCCAGGGTGATGGTAATGAAGGTGTAGCGGGGTGAACACCCACTCCAGCCCTGAAGAGGGCTAGGGCTGGGGAAAGGAGCAAAACTCTGGCTGATTGGCGAAGTGGCTGCAGCTGGGGCCATGCCCCAAACAGAGCAACTCGACCTTATAAGAAGGCCAGGGCAGCCAGAAGCTGAGGAGTCTCACTCTGATTGGAGAGAGAGACAGGCCTGACTGCTGGGGACCTCACCTGGGGACCTAGAGTGAGGCAGGGCTGGGGAAAGGCCTTGGGGGCTGGGAAGCCCTAGGCCAGCAACTCCCCAGGCTGCAGGGCCTGGTCCTAGGCCCACAGGGGTATTGGGGTTGCAGAGGGGCAGCCTGAGGGTGGGTAAAGGCAGCCAGTCCAAACCCCTAGTTGCCTGTGATGATTGGCTGATAGACTGCAGTCTGCCCCAGGGCATGGGGGCTAGATGGTGACTGGCAGTAGCCACGACTGAGGCAATGTGGGGATAGGGGTGGGAGTTCCCCTGGGTGGGGAGACCCAGAGAGAAAGTGGGGTACTGCCAGGGGGGCAGCACCCAAGCCAAGTGCACTGGGGTCTGGGAGGGACACAGGGGCCAATGACAGGCAGCACACCTGGCCTACAGAGGGCTCTCTGACGACTGGTGAGCTAATTCCCGAGACGACCAGCAGGAAGCGCCGCATGGGTGAGTCTGCGCCTGATTACAGGAGGAATGCAGAGATGCTCTTTGGAGACATCAAATGTGTTTCAATAGCTGAAGGCATTCCAGAATTCTCCAAAAGAACCATGAATGATTGCAGGAGTGACTGCCATCCCCTGAGGATGTGGAGGTGAAGGTAAGTTAAGAAAAAAGCTGATGACTGTTAAATAATCAGGAGAGAGAAAACCTGTTACCTGTCCCCAATCCTGAGTATAGTGTATATCTCCTGTGAGTGCCTTCAATTCTCACTGAAGTCCTTTGATTCATCAAAACACTTAAGCACATGATTAATTTAAACTATGGGACTTAAGCATGTTTTTAAGTGCTTTGCTCAATATGTATGGAGTTAAGCACATACACCTCTACCCCGATATAACATGACCCAATATAACACGAATTCGGATATATTGCGATAAAGCAGTGCTCCGGGGGGGCGGTACTGCACACTCCAGCGGATCAAAGCAATTTCAATATAGCGCGGTTTCATCTATAACGTGGTCAGATTTATTTTTTTTGGCTCCCGAGGACAGTGTTCTATTGGGGTAGAGGTGTATTAAACACAAAGTTAAGTACAAATGGCCTTGCTGAATCATGGCTTGGAAGCTGAGGAATGGTGTGGAAATTCAGTCCCAGACTTTGTCATTTCATGATTTTACTGAGATGAGAATAATGCAGTTTATTCAAAGATTACTAAATATGAAACAAGTACATCTTGTTTTTGCCAGATCACTTGTGTGAAATGAGAATATAAAAGGCAGTGATAACTATTTACATGGCATTTTGATGTAATGAATTTAGCTCTTCTTTTGAAGCTAGTTTTAATGTTTGGCTTTGCAAATACTTAACATGTTCTTCTTGCTAGAATGAATAAATAAAGCTTTTTTTATATATTACTATAGTATAATCCTGCACATTAGGGCTAATTTCTAATACAATAACTCCTCACTTAACATCGTTCCGGTTAATGTTGTTTTGTTGTTACATTGCTGATCAATTAGAGAACATGCTTGTTTAAAGTTGTGCAATGCTCCCTTCTAACGTTTTTTGGCAGCCACCTGCTTTGTCCACTGCTCGCAGAAAGAGTGGCCCATTGGAGCTAGTTGGTGGGGGCTTGGAACCAGGGTAGACCGGCAGTCCCCCTATCAGCTCCGCTAAGTTCCCTGTGCGGCAGCCGCCCAGCAGGCTATCAATTGCCGGCAGTTTGATTGCTGTGCATGGGGAGGAAGCGAGGTGCTAATGTCCGGGTGTCTCCCTCCCCCTGCTCCTATACCCCATTTCCACAGAGTGCGGGGACACCACAGGGTTTGGGACTGAGTGAGCTTGCTGGCAGCAGCTGCTGTCTCAACTTGCTGATCTATTTTAAAAGGCAGTGTACTTAGAGTGGGGTCAGCGTACTTAAAGGGGCAATGTGCAACTGTCTCACTCACACACATGGTGTGAATGTCTCTCACACACACACACACACACACGGTGTATCTCTGTCTCTCTCTGTCATGCTGTCTCCTCTCTCCATTCCTGCTGCCTTGTAGAGTGAGTGTACATTAACAACGAGTTAACCCTTGAGGGCTCAGCCAAGTGCTAGCTCATCATTTAGCAGTGAGGCATTCCCTGGGAAATATCCCTCCCTCTGCCACCCTGTGACTCCACCAAGCTTCACAATCATCATGGCTGTGTACATTATTAAATTGTTTGTTTAAAACTTAGTGTGTGTGTGTGTGTGTGTGTGTGTGTGTGTGTGTGTGTGTGTGTG